GGGCTGGATAAAGGGTTGAAAAAAGAAAGGGGAAAAACGGGGTAATAAAAAGGGGTACTCTGGAAGTGCAGTAGGGCAAAGGTCAACACATACACGAGGCAAACATGAGCAGTGAGAGGACTCGCATGGCGAGAATCTCCTTCTCGATGATGAAGCACAGCTGAATGGCCAGCACGCCAATGCTGGCGACGAGGAGGAAGACGAAGCCAATGGTGTAGAAGATCTGGGTCACAATGAAGAAGGCTGTCAAGGAGAAAAAAGGGGGAGAAAAAGCAGAATGACATCATTCATTAGTACGTTCATTACACAGTGAAGGACATTTTTTCATTTGGTTGTTAGGCAGTGTGCTGCTGTATTAGCAAATGTCAATCAGCAACTCTCTTTTTCCCTCTCTCGCTTTCTCCCTTTCTCATTACTTGGCATCAGCAGGCCACGAATGTCCTGGTACTCGTTGGCGAAGATCCACCTGCAGCCGGCGTAGTACTTGGCCATGTCGAGGTCGTAGGGGGAGACGTAGCTGCGAAAACACGTCTCCCAGAGGCCTAGCTTTACAAAGACGGCGCCGTAGAAGCGGCGCTCCGAGGCGAGCCAGTTTGGGCTGAAGAAGGCGATGAAGGTGGAGAGGGCGGTAATGGCGATGGCCACGACGGCCACCAAACGGGCGTCGGTCATGCGCTCTCGCTTGTCGAGCGCCTCCCCCTCCCTCTCGACCCGGTCATCCTCAATGGAGTCGCCGTCGTAGTTGGAGGAGTAGTTGGTGGAGCTGCCCATGATGATCAAAGATGAGGTGAGGTGAATTTAGGAGACGGTTCCAGTGAGAAAATGAGCTGCAGTGGCAATATGAGACGACTTTCACTTTGCACCAGGGCGAGAGAGAAACGAACTGACGGTGTTATTGCTTCTGATGATGACTGTGGCAGACAGCAGACAGGCAGACAATCACGCTGGCGGTGCAGAGGAATGTAAATAATAACAAGACCGGGAACGACCACTCAGTTGCATGTGAACTCGATTTGCCTAATTAGGCCGAGGCAAGGGAAGAAGACTGCTGCTGTCTGTCTGTCCGATCAGCACTAGACACTAATTGACATTATCGAGCACGGACAACAAGTACACTGGGGGCGCCTGGGTGACAGTTGCAGCAGCAGCATCGGCATCGGCATCAGCAATGGAGCATCTCTTCCTTGACGAGTTACGGCGAGGCAGCAGCTGGTTGAATCATCTCGGAAGTGAAACGGTGTGTTGTGGCTGTCCAGTCGCCATAGTGATCGGCCAGAGAGGGAGAGAGGGCACAACAAACGGCTGGAGACAGTCAGCTATTCGCTGGCCGAGGAACACAGTGTGTTCAATGTGCTTGCGGAGATGTGCTAGCTAAAAGCTTCGCCTAGCTCAGCTGCCACTCACTGCAAACAGTGGTGACGGTGGTGGTGGTGGTAGTTCTGCCACCTTGCCACCTTGCGCGGTGGACAGGTAGAAAGAGCGAGAGAGGGAGAGGGGGAAGGAAAGAACAGGTAGTTGGGATAGCCGCTATCCACTCAACTGAAAACTGAAGGAATGACTGCTGAATGAGTGTGCCTCTTTTCAGCGGTGAGATGCAACGCCCTGACCACCACCAGTCAGCGGTTACTGCCTGTCTGCCCCGCTGCAGATTGCGCACATGCAGGCAGGTAAACCTGCACAACTGTCCACTACCACCAGCAGCAGTGCTCTTGGTGGCCAGGCCAATGGCACGTACCGTTGATGGAAATGTGGATTAGCCAAAGGATGCATTCCGGTGCGAGTGTTTAAACTTTTTGTCCTCGAGTGTTTCAAGCACAGCAGTCAGATCGCACAGCAATTGCACGTTTCGACATTTGCTGTTTGCTGCTTAATCAACTCACTTTCTTTCTCCATCTCTACTAACTTAGCCTCTTGAAACCAACCAAACGAGGAGTGGTGTAATGAAGCCCGGCAAAACAATCGTACTAATTGCTCGATCAGCCAGCAGGCCTTGATGATCGTTAGTGGTGGTGGTTGTGGTTGTGGGAAGGGATTGTTTGCACAACACTGCGCGGAGATGGAAAGCTAAAGTGATGGAGGATTCGCTCAGTGCTCGCTAAAATAATGATAATAATTAAATCGAGTGCGAAGAGTGCGCAACAACTGCCGACAAATGCAGCACTGTACTCTGTTCTCTGTTGGGTCGAAAAAACAAATCGGTCTCGGTGCTTTGCCACTGGCGAGCAGCCATGACAGCGTTCACTACACCAGAAAACACACACAAAGAGAAAGAGACTCAGGGGATTGACAATTGTCAATTATCAATCAGTTAGTCAATCAGTCAGTCAGTGGTTCAGTAGTTCAGTGGTGTTCAACTTACGTGGTTCGAGAAAGTCGAGGAGGAAGGCGTAGTCCTCGTCGAAAACCCACTTGCAGCCCCGGTAGACTCGGTCGTAGAGGTAATAGGTGTCCCTAAACTCGTAGAAGCACGCCTCCCAGAGGCCTAGCTTGTTGAAACGCTTCATGGGCTCGTTGCCGTCTGCGGCTAACCAGTTGGGTGTGGAGAAGGCGATCGTCTGGAAGAAGACCGTCACANACTTGCAGCCCCGGTAGACTCGGTCGTAGAGGTAATAGGTGTCCCTGAACTCGTAGAAGCACGCCTCCCAGAGGCCTAGCTTGTTAAAGCGCTTCATGGGCTCGTTGCCGTCTGCGGCCAACCAGTTGGGTGTGGAGAAAGCGATCGTCTGGAAGAAGACAGTCACGAAGGTGAAGGCCGCCGCGTAGGTCACCGTGCGGAACTTGGTCACGTCCAGCGTCGTGGACATTCGCTCCAGTAGTTCCGACATTTTAGCTGAAGCGCCTGCTGGGGGGGAACTGGAGCTTGAAGCAGGGAGCAGGCACTTGGACTTGAATTGAATTGAGCTGAGTTGTGAGGTGGTGACAAAGCGGTGGTCTTCACTGTGTGCAAGTTGAGCTGAGCTGAGCTGGTTGTGCTGGTGATGATGAATAGTGCGCCCGGCGTAGAGTTGAAGGCAACTGTGTGTGAGCACTTGCTTAACTTGATTATTTCATTATGGCTGCCGTTGTTGTTGTGCCAGCGCTGTGACAGTTTGCAGTTTGGTGTCGAGGTTGTTTATGCTGGTGATAATGATGTTGGTGCTGGTGGGGATGGTGGTGAGCACCGATGAAGCATGCTGGTGATGATGCTTGCTGTTTGGCACAAGCACAAACACACTCTCACCGACTTCAATCAACTGCTGAATAGTCAACAGAGAGAAAGAGAGACACCGCAAGTGATGACCATTGCCAGGCAGGGAAAGGTAGCTAGCGCTAGTTGCCTGATGGTCGTGGTCGTGGTCGTCGTAGTGCTGGCAACGGTGGCCGACGAGGCTCACAGGTACTGCTGCTGCTGCAGTTGCAGTTGCCGTTCTTGCAGACCACCGCTCTGACCAAGCTGCTGCAGCAATTATTCGACGAGGGGAAGCACACGACCAACGACAACGGTGGCGCCGGTTTGAGGCAGTCAGACTAACTAGAGCTGTTGCGCAATATGCACAGGTGATCTAATCATTTTAAATAAACTTCCCTCAATGCAGTCTGGTTTGAGCCTACTGATCCACAGCTGGTCACCAAGATAGTGGATCGTCAGCATCAACAGCCGAGCATCAGGGAGAGCAGCTTTGAGGCGATCAAGTTCCTTTCGCCCAACTTCTACGAACTTCAGCTGCTCTGTCGGGCAGTCTTTGGTGGCGATCAGGTTCCGCTGGTTGATGGCAAGAGTTTGAAAAGGTACCATTTCTTGTTTTATATGATTGGAAAATACTAAACATATTGTTTTTGATAGAGATGAGATCATTGACGCATCCACTGAGTATGGCAACAAGCTGCTAGAGCGTTTTGCCACTATTCACGGCGTCCTTGTGACCATTGGCAAGCATGGCATTGTTTACGTCAGTCGGGATCAAAACCCAGATTCGACCATTCACCTGGGACCAAACTCGAGCCTTTTTGATGACTCTTCTTCAAAGGTAATTGTGACATTGGCGTAAAAAATGAACTCATTTTATAAACACATTCTTTTTGCAGGCAATTCAATCGCTTTACTTACCTCAAGAACTAGTTCCTAATGTAGTGAACGTTTCTGGTGCCGGCGACTGGTAATAAAACGTGATAAATTTTTAATGTATTAAAAACTCATCATTTTTGCCCCATAGCATGGTGGGCGCCCTCGTCTACGGTCTGCTCAGCCAGCTGTCCGTTCGCCGTTCGCTCCAGCTTGGCCTCAGTGCAGCCCAGCTGTCCGTCACCGTCAACGACACTGTTCCAATCAACATTAAGCAGATTCTCACTGACCACAATTTACTGTAATTTCCATGTAATCTGATTGAATCAGATCAATAAATTGCCTTTTTTTGCCGCCAATGAAATGAAAGCGAATAAAACCCTGCTCAAAACCCGTCTTCTGCGGAGGGACCATAAGTGATGATNCAGTGCAGCCCAGCTGTCCGTCACCGTCAACGACACTGTTCCAATCAACATTAAGCAGATTCTCACTGACCACAATTTACTGTAATTTCCATGTAATCTGATTGAATCAGATCAATAAATTGCCTTTTTTTGCCGCCAATGAAATGAAAGCGAATGAAACCCTGCTCAAAACCCGTCTTTTGCGGAGGGACCATAAGTGATGATTTTTTGTGTGTTTTTCAGCCGGCTACTCTCTTCTCTTGCTTCGTTCTCTCTCTCCCTTCTTTCAGCTTCATGTGCTTTGTTTGCTAATCACCAGATTCAACTGGACAACACTTTCTATCACCTTCTTGATAGTCGGTGTCTACTGCATGTCATCTATCACCATCACAGCATAAAACTTGGCCACTCTTCGAGGCTCAAGATTCTGCACGGTTCTAGCAGTCAAACCTGACCATAACAAGCCCTTTTTCTGCTTGTCATTGTCTCTGCACGCTACTCGCCTCATTTGTCAAATTCTGCCCTGAGCCTGAAAAAGTAACCCCTGCTAAAAAATGGCGAATGGACAGTCGTACCAGATTGGGAATCTTGTTCAAAAGGTATCTAGCTTCAATTTACTCAATCGCTTCAAACTTGCTATAACGTGTTTCACCCTTTTTCAGATGACCTCTAGTGATAAGGATTTTCGCTTTATGGCAACAAACGATCTTCTTTCTGAGCTGCAAAAAGATTCCATCAAGTTGGATGAAGATGCAGAAAAGAAAGTCGTCAAGACTCTGTTAAACTTGCTGAAGGATACTAACGCCGAAGTTCAGAACTTGGCTGTCAAATGGTGTGTTTTACAGGTGCAATTATTATTTCTTTGATCTGACGTACAATATCTTCCTTTTCAGCCTTGGCCCCCTTATTACAAAGGTGAAAGAAGCCCAAGCAGACATTATCGTTGATACTCTTTGCGCTAACATGCTGGGAAAAGAAGAAATTCTGAAAGAGACTTCAAGCATTGGACTGAAAACTGTAATCCTGGAGATTCCCATCCATGCGAATAACTTGATCTCCGCCGTTTGCAAGAAGATTACCGGTAGAATGATCAATGCCGTTTCTCAGGGCGATGTTTCCCTGCAGCTGGAATGCCTGGAGATATTCTCCGATTTGTTGTTTCGCTTTGGCCATGTGATGAGTCTCTACTACCCGCAGGTCAAAGATGCCCTGCTCCCTCAACTGGAGAACTCTCGTACGGCTATCAACAAGCGTGCCATCACCTGTATCGGTTTCATGACCATCACCTGCAATGACGCCCTTTACACTGAAATAATCAACCACATTCTGAACCGTTTGAAGAATAGCGATGTCAGCAATGCTAAGATCTACATCAACTGCTCTGCAGCCATCTGCAAGCACTCTGGTCCTCGAATGGACCCTTACCTCAAGGCGTTCATTGATCTGATTATCAAGTGTATCCCAAGCAATGACGAGGACCTGAAAGAAGCTTGCTTTTTAGCTCTTGAAGTGTATGTCCGAAGGTGTCCAAAGGAAGCATCTGTTTACATTGAACAAGTATGATATTGAGTGTTATTCTGCAAATACTTTATTTTACTCTTTCTCTCTTTTTAGATCATTAGTTTGAGCTTGCAGTACATCTCCTATGATCCGAATTACAACTATGATGATGAGAATGATGACGAAGATATGGAGATGGACAACGATGCCGATGATGACAATAACAGCGATGAAGATTACAGTGACGACGACGATGTTAGCTGGAAAGTTCGCCGAAGTGCTGCCAAAGTCCTGGAAACTATCATTATGACTCGTCTTGACATGTTGGAAGATTTTTTCCGCATGATTTCTCCAGTCATTGTTTCCCAGTTCAAAGGTAGAAATTATTGACAGCGATTGAGTTTTACTCACTTAATTTTATCGTTACAGAACGAGAAGAGAATGTCAAAGTGGATATCTTTGCAATATACATTGCCCTGCTCCGTCAAACTAGGGCTATCATCAGCAACTCGGAGAATGGCGCCAAGTTTTTGCAGATTTTACGTAATCAAGTTCCCGATGTGGTTCGCTCTCTTGACCGTCAGTTGAAGGAGAAAAGCGTCAAAACTCGTCAGAGCTGTTTTCAGCTTCTCAGCGAACTGGTCAGCATTTTACCTAATGCACTGGCTGATCCTGACCAGGCCGATTCAAAGAAGAACTTTCTGAATAACATTATTCCCGGAATCATGTACTCGTTGAACAACAACAACTCTACGTCTAGCATGAAGATTGAGGCGCTGGCATTTCTGAACACTTTGCTGAAGACGCACAAGCCTCAGGTGTTTTCCAACTACTTCAACGCGTTGATCACCGAAATTAAGAAGGCCGTCACTGATCCGTTCTACAAAATCACCTCGGAGGCTTTGCTGGTGCTCACGCAGCTGGTGCCCATTATTCGACCTTCGCTTGAGATTAAGTGCGACTCAAACATCATGTCCTACGTTGAGAGCATGTACATGATGACCCTCATCAAGCTGAAAACTTCCGACATTGATCAGGAGGTGAAGGAGCGTGCCATCACCTGTATGGCACAGATCATCAGCACCTTTGGCGATGTGATGCCCAACCTTCAGGAGGTTTTTGCTCTCCTTCTCGAGCGTCTCAAAAATGAAGTCACTCGACTTACCTGCGTTAAAGGACTCATTAAGATTGTCAGGTAGGAGACTCATTTCGTTTGTTTCAGCAGTTTGTGCTAACACTGTTACACTGTTTTTAGCGTCAAGTTTCCAACTCCACTCAATCTTTCACCTCTGTTGCCGGAAGCATTTTCCGTATTGGCTTCATTCCTGCGACAGAACAAGCGTTCCCTCAAGTTCAATACTCTGCTGTTGATTGATACGTTGTGTAAAAACTACAGTATGTTTTTGGCTGCTAGTTTATTCCCTTTTGAACTAATTCCCATTTCCTATTTTAAACAGATACTTACCAGAACAGTGAGATTAATGAGATTATCCTCAATGAGATGGTTCCTCTGATTTCCGAGAACGATCTCTACATTTCTCAGCTCGCACTCACCACGCTGACTTCGATGATTCTGTCGCACAAGGCTTTCCTGGCCATCATCCCTCAGTCGATTCTTCCCGAGGCTTTGCTGCTGATTCGCTCGCCCCTTCTGCAGGGCACCACCCTCACGGCGATGATCAACTTCTTCTGCTCTATAGTGCAGAGCTCCTTTCCCGGTCTGGACTGCAATGAGCTGATCGACAGACTAACGCAAAACATTCTGATGCCCACCGGTGGTGGTCACAGTCCTCCGGCCCTCTCTAAGCCGGCCTTCATCTCCATCTCCAAGTGCATTGCCGCCATCTCACTGCTCAACGAGAAGTCTGCCCTTGCGACTGCCACCAATCTGATTCAGCAGATACGAAACCCGCAACTAACCACTGGTTCCTCTGACTCGGTGCAGCTGTACTCTCTGCTGACTGTCGCTGAGATTGGCAAGAAGTTGAATCTGGAGTCGGTGCATGAGCCGCTGCAGGAGGCCATTCTCGAGTCCTTCTACTCGGTCAATGAGGACATCAAGTCGGCGGCGTCAGTCTGCCTGGGCAGCGTCAGCGTCGGCAACTTGGAGCGTTTTTTACCATTCGTCATGATGAACATTGCCCAGAAGCAGAAGCGCCAGTACCTGCTGTTGAACGCACTGAAGGAGATCATTAGCTGCTCGTCCACTGACAAGAACCTCATTCAGCACCTGCAGCCTCACCTGCAGTCCATTTGGGACCTTCTCATTCAGCATTCAGCGTCGGAGGAGGAGGGCACCCGGTACGTGGTGGCGGAGTGTCTAGGCAAGTTGGCCCTGCTCAATCAGAGCGTTCTTCTGCCTGAGTTGTTGAGAAGCCTCAACTCGCAGTCGTCCTTTGTTCGCGAAACGATCATCACGGCCATTCGCTTCACCATTTCGGACTACCCTCACGAGGCGGACGTCCTGCTGAAGGAGTGCATGAAGGAGGTGCTGGGCACACTGCAGGACCCTGACATTAACGTACGCCGCGTAGCTCTGGTCACCTTCAACTCTACGGCGCACAATAAGCCTTCGCTCATTCGCGACACCCTCCACGTGACACTACCTCTGCTCTACAAGGAAACCCAAGTCAAGGTATTAACACAGTTGCAGAGATAGACGAGAGGGGGGGGCTTGTTTGGCACCCAGGGAAGTCCATTAATTGCTGCTGCTTTTTCCTTAGCCCGAGCTGGTGCGCGAAGTAGAGATGGGTCCCTTCAAGCACACCGTCGACGATGGTCTGGACCTGCGAAAGGCCGCTTTTGAGTGCATGTACACCCTGCTCGAGTCCTGTCTGGATCGAATTGAAATGTTTGAGTTTCTCAACCAAGTGGAGGCCGGCCTGAAAGACACCTACGACATCAAGATGCTTACCTACCTGATTCTGATTCGCCTCTCAGAGGTCTGTCCCTCTGCTCTGCTGCAACGTAAGTGAATCCACACATGACTGTAAAGCTGTTTAGTTTTAACCACCTTTCCCTTTTGAAATGCGTTTCAGGTCTCGACAGTATCATCGCCATTCTCAAAGAAACGTGCACCTCCAAGCTGAAGGCAAATGCCGTCAAGCAGGAGCACGAAAAGCAGGACGAGCTGCGTCGATCGGCCATTCGTGCTTTTGTGTGCATCTTCAAAATACCTGAAGCGGGTAAGTGTTGTGTACTGATCAGTGCGAAACTGGCGAACAAGCCATCATCATTTGTTTATTCATTCATTTTTGTTGTTTTGCAGAGAAAAACGCTTACGTTGCCGACATGATGAACATGATCAAGAGCTCGACCGACTTGAAGCCGCTCTTTGAGTCGGTGCAGAACAGCAACAAGATCAACAACGACGCTTTCTCGCCCATGGAAGTTGAGTTTATCAACTGAAAGGCGGATACACACTGCTTAAATATTGAGCACTAGCTTTTTTCAAATGTACATTTTTTACCATAACCTAATGATTGGATGTGGAACTCGGTTAAAACTGGCGATGAGTTAAAGAAATAAGAAAGAACTGTGTGGCAGATTTAACAGATAGAGTTTATACTAGTAGAACAAACAAAAGACTACAAAACAGTGTATAGAAATGGAGAATGTATCAAAAGGAAACGGGGGAAGGGGTCTCACTACTATTGGTCCTGCTGCTTGGCCCGGTTGATGGCCGACAGAATGTCGCGGACGCCCCGGTCGATCATCATAGTGGCCAGTCGGCGGCCGAGGAGAACCGCGTTGTGCAGTCGCACCTGCAACTGATCATCAAAGTGCCTCACCGAGACGTCGGTAAAGTCGAACAGTGACCAGTCGAGGCGGCCTTCTTCTTCAGTGGGCATTGCACGTTGCGCATTTGCTGGCAGTGATTGCGTGTCATCCAGTGGCTGGGTGGCGGTGGCCTCCACCCGTTGTGTGCCGTTCAGACTAAGTACGATCGCTTCAAGTGTAAGTTCAGTCTTCTCACTCACAATGTCCTCACTCCACCTGGTGCGCACTCCAATGGGCACTGAGCATCCGCCCTCGAGGCACTTCATGAGGACGCGCTCTGCGAGGCACTCCAGCAGTGCCCGCTGGTCGACCAGGGGCGCCAACACCTCGGTGACCATGTACGCGTCATCGGTGCGGCACTCCACGCCGAGGGCGCCCTGGGAGACGGCGTGGTACCAGTTCAGACGGTGGCTGATCCGGTGGGCGAAGCCGCCGCGGACCAAACCAGCCGTCGCCATCACCAGACAGTCGTAGCCGTGCTCGTCGTGTGCGTCCAACTTTCTGATTCGAGTGTTGATGTTGCCGCGAACGTCCTTCACCGTCACCGCCGGACACCGTGTCCGCAGCTGTGCGATCCGCCGCAGTGATGACGTGCCGAAGGTGGTTATGCTCTGGTTGTTTGCGAGAATCTCCTCCAGGGTGGCGTCAGCGCGAGGAAGGTGGAGGCCGGTGCGCAGCACCAGCGAGTCAGTTGGGTCTTCGCGCCTGAAAAGGATTGCTGTTTTAAAAAGAGCATACAGTAGTTGAACGCTGTTGTGTTACCTGGTGATGGCGCCGATGCAGCAGTCGTCAGGCAGCGTGGTGGGCAGGTCCTTAAGCGAGTGGACGATCAGGTCGATGTTCCCTGCGAGAAGTTCATCTTCAAGTTCACGCGTGAAGAGGGCCTTCTCGCCAATCTTTGCCAGCGGTCGGTCGAGAATGTTGTCGCCGGTGGTGTCGATGGTGACCACCTCAAACTGCAGGCCCGGGTGAAGTTGGCTCAGCTGGTCGATCACCCAGTTGGTCTGCACCAGCGCCAGGGCGCTCTTTCGAGAACCCACTCGAAGCACCCTCCGCACCAGTTGTTCTACCTTATCGCCGCTTGGACCTAGATTCAGCGCCATTCAGTTGATGAAACGTGGCTTCGACTTGTAGTTGTGGTGTCCTTTTGACTGCCCACAAAGTGTTGCACACTACCGTGGAAGCTCGTGCACCTACAGGAGGTCCGAATGGGAGTGCGTGGCAATCAGTGTGCGTGTGAAACCGCTGTCGGCCACTTAACCGGCAAAGTCAACAATCACGACTACAATCTCCACCGGCATTACAACTGTCCTTGCCGTCGTCGTCGTACAACATGAGGTGCAAGTGCAAAATCAAGTTTGCAGCCGCCAACAAGTGCTTTTCCCATCGCCGCAGACACCTACTCTATGATTGGTCGCAGCAGCCAGACGGCGATTGTTTACATGCCAAACAGACGACGGATTCAAAGCCGTCCAAGGCAGGACGGCAAACCAGACAGGTACTACTGCCCTATTTGGAACGTTGGGAAATTACCACCAAAATTGGTAATCCGGAATGAAAAGCCCACTAAAATTGGGTAAAGCAGTGAAAGGCAAACAATTCATAGCACAGGGCAAATGTGGATCAGAAACAGAAATGCCGGCTCAATTCTAGATCAAGTTACTGTTATCAGCTGCATCTTATCAGATCACGAATCAGAATCTGCTACTTGACGACAATGAAGTACCAGTTGCATCCATTTCTGGTCCAGAACGCTGCACCAGCATCAGCAGCACCGGCATCAGCAGCGGCAGTCACTGCGCGTCACCTCATCTGCGAGCTCCCCCTGCGGTGCTGTCGATCAGCCCTCTGCTGGCAGAGCGCTGTTGTTCACCTCCTTTTCCGCCTAGCTCTCGCCCGCACGTGCTGCCAACACTAAAGTGCATACTCCGAATCTGACTTTCGGTCAACATGGTAAGGCCCGGCGACCTTGTCCCGCTCCCGAATGACCACCACTAATGAGAACACTCTTTTCCCCCTCACCACCACCATCACCACCACCAGGCTCGCGGTCCCAAGAAGCACCTTAAGCGTTTGAATGCTCCGAAGGCATGGATGCTCGACAAGCTCGGCGGCGTCTTCGCTCCCCGACCCTCCTCGGGCCCTCACAAGCTGCGTGAGTCGCTGCCACTTGTGGTGATGCTGCGAAACCGTCTCAAGTACGCCCTCACTCGCGATGAGGTCACCAAGATTGTGATGCAGCGCACCATCAAGGTGGACGGCAAGGTTCGCACTGACATCAACTTTCCCGCTGGATTTATGGGTGAGTTTTTTAGTGCCTCTAATTAGGTTTACGGCCTTTCATCGAAGACTTGACATACTGTAATTATAAAGAGATGTACAAGATCAAAATATGCGCCGAAAGAATCAATAAGCGTGAAATGGTCGCTTGTTTTCGAGCTAGTCACTGCCAGAATCCGAGTATACCCAGATCCCTTACAATCTTTCTCTCTTTCTCTTTCAGATGTCGTCTCAATCGAGCGAACTGGCGACCACTTCCGTCTGCTCTACGACGTCAAGGGCCGATACATTCTCCACAAGATCACCGCTGAAGAGGCCAAGGTATGTGTTCCTGTTGTTGCTGCTGATGCCGGCGGCACGTGGCACCGCCATTGTTGACATGCACCTTTCTAACTTCAACTTTTTTTCATTTGTGTTTCTGTAGTACAAGCTGTGCCGTGTGAAGAAGGTCGGCACTGGTCCGAAGGGAATCCCCTACATCGTGACCCACGACGGCCGCACCATCCGCTACCCTGATCCTCAGATCAAGAACCTCGACTCGGTGCGCTACGACATCTCGTCAGGCAAGATCGTCGACTTCATCAAGTTCCAGACCGGAAACTTGTGCATGGTGACCGGCGGCCACAACTTGGGTCGTGTTGGTGTGATCACGTCTCGAGAGCGACACGTGGGTAGCTTCGACATCATTCACATCAAGGACAGCCTGGGCCACACCTTCGCCACTCGGTACTGTTTTACTCATGAACTCTGTCCGCACAGTTTTCTAATGATCAATTCTTTCAATTTTCCATTTCAACAAAACAGATCGGCCTACATTTTCGTCATCGGCAAGGGCAACATGCCCTACGTCTCTCTGCCCCGTGGCCGAGGTCTCCGCCTGACGGTGGCCGAGGAGCGAGACAAGCGACTGGCAAAGAAGACCGCCTAAAGAAAGGGAGAGTGTTTTTTGCAAAAAAGAAAAAGTAATGTAATTCACGAATAAAAAACATCACTGAAATCCCCTCTTCCGACTAACGAGTCGGGTTTTCTGTCTTCCTGTCGCTCATTACTGTTGTGGATCTCCTACCCCTTTACTACCACTTTCAGCCGACCATTTGGCAGCAATGTGTGTATGTTTACATACGGCAAACAATGGCGCCGACAAAAGATGGTCTCCATTCCCCTTTCCATTTTTACAGCATCTAATTGAATTTTCACCTCTAATTGGAATTAGTGGGCGTCCTGAGGCAGCTGCTGTCTTTTTAATTCCCTTGTATTTGCTGTGTTTCAGCAATTCAGTGTCTTCTTTGTGTGTGTGCTAGTGCCTGGCTTGTCTTGCCTTAGTCGTCGCCGTTGCCCTTCTCTGCCGTCATGCGCCAACCGAGAATGTGGGCAGGCGACAGCTCGGCGGCGTTGGTAACGGCGGCTATAAAAGCGCCCGTCCGTTCGAAAGCGTTCCCGCCATTCTGCAGTGTTTAGTGTATGAGTGTGTGTTCACCAGCGCAAATGGCAAACTGATTGCCGCCTGTGTTTGTTTGCCTGTTTTCTGGTCGTTTGGTCTTCGTCCCTGAACACTGTCCATCTTCTAGAGATTGTGCCACCCTGCTGACTATGTTTGTTGTTTGATCCCGGACAGCAATCTCGACGACTTTAGTGCTCCAAAATTGTGAATCCCAAAATGGTGTGCACCGGTCCACAGGCGCATTCCTCTGACTTGTAGTATTCTGACAGAAGAAGCAGCTGCAGTACGCTTTTCAACACTATTTCTAGCACCACTTTCACCACTCCCATCGCTGACCGCCACCACCACCACCACTATCACCGCCCGTAGAGTGTGATTTTGATTTATGCTTGTCCACCAAATTATTTCCCATTTGCAGCAAATATTCGTGCGAGTGGACAAACAGAGACACACACACACGTATTATACCTGCACCAGAACGCTAAATAATCAAGGTGCGTCATCGTGCATAATAAAGTACAACAGCAGCAGCCGAATCAGCACCTTCAGACTGCCAATGCAGACACGCAAATGGTCCATTTGATCTGACAGTCAGAGCGCTGGGAGCACTGCCACTTTAGCCTGAGAGCCACCAACGGCGGCAGCACCAACGGTGGCAGCAGTGCCCTGAAATCAATCGACCTACCGCCAGCAAGTTCAAGCCAATTGCACTGACCGCTCCAAAGAGGTATTAGAAGACAGACAAGGCCAGGAAGCTGCTGGACAAAGAAATTGTCTTTTTCTTCTTCTCATTCTCCAGTGCACTACTTCACCTAATCCACAGCAATTCGGCCTAGCGTGTCAAAGTGTGGCCTCTCTCTCTCTCATTACATCACCCATTCTTTGGGTCTTTGTGGAAGCAATCGTGCTGGGCATTCATTTGCAGCTGATTGCATCAGCAGCAGTGGCACCCTGACAGTCTGACAGACAGACAAACTTCGACCGACCGACCGACAAAGAAGCGATCACCATGCTGCTGGACCCTCTGCAGACTTCCTCTCTAAATCGGCTTATTGCCGTTCGGTTTCACTGCAATTCATCGGAAACGAAAAGGTAAGTGCAGTGTCCTGGTGCTCCTCTTGTCTCCTCTTGCAGCCGACTGAATGAATGCATGTGTTTGAATGAGCGCTGCCANGTCCTGGTGCTCCTCTTGTCTCCTCTTGCAGCCGACTGAATGAATGCATGCGTTTGAATGAGCGCTGCCACCGCCGGAGTGGCGCCCTTTGCCTCTTCTCCAAGAAAGCAGAAGGAGGAGGAGGAAGGACCCTCTCAGCATTGTGTGTGTCTTTGTCAGCATCAGTCGCCTCATTTTGTGTTGTTTTGTCGAGCATAAAGTAGTGGTAGTAGACGTAGCAAAGTCAACAGCAACTGTTAGTGAATGGCGGCCCTGCAATGCTGTGCCCCTGCTGCTTTCAAGTTGCTTCCTCCACTCCTGGCAGAAATGGTGGCCAGTTGAGAGCTGTACATTTCATCTTTAATTAATAGGCAGGCGCACACAAGTACCCACTCAGCAATCGAGGCCAATCATAAGGAATAAATATAATTGCAATGGCAATGAGGCAGAGGGGAGAGAAGATGAAGAAGGTATTAGGGTTTAGGAGAGTAGGGCCACTGGATTGGCCCAGTGTCGGTGAAGTGTGTAGCACAAGAGAACGGAAAGTCGCTTAGTCTGCTCAAGTGGACTACTGCGGCCAAACTAAATGCGCGGATTCCTTCTCCTTCTCCTCCTCCCCATCCTCTTCATCTTCTGAGCAGGGATTCGGCAGGCAGTACTTAAGCTTCAGTGGACACTGTGTGAGCTGTTTGTCACTGGCAGCCTAGCCAGCAACAACAGCAACAAAAATGTCAGTGTTCTCAGAAATCCTGCCTGGGAACAGCTTTCTAAGGATGAAAAACTGAAATGAGAGAAGTGAGAAGGCAACCACCAAAAGTGAGTGAGTGAGTGGGATGAGTGGGATGAAGTGAGTTGGCGCTGTCA